TTTTTTTCTTATCTTTTTTGCTCACACAACTAAATATATTCCAAAGATTTTTACAGGGACCTGGTGGGTATTCACCCTCGTCATTATTAGCGCTTATACGGCAAATCTAGCCGCTGTGCTTACCGTATCTCGTCCTTTCATTCCAATCAAGAATCTTGACGATCTTGCAAATCAAACAACAATCTCTTATGGAACCATCAAAGGCGGCAGCACTATGCAATTTTTCCAAGTTGGTAAACGTATCTTTAAGACAAGAAATTTTGTCCGTAAAAACCACTTGATATTTATTTTAGGAGTCCAGAATTGGATCGCATGTGAAAATGTGGGAATATATGAAAAATCGTAACGTTTTTGTGAAAGATAACCGCGAAGGAGTTGCAAAGGTGGTAAGGTAAGAATTTAGAAACAACAACTTTGAAGTTAAGGATAAGATTCTCAGTAAAAATTACGCTTACCTTATGGAGTCGACTTCGCTGGAATTTGAAGTTTCTCAGAACTGTAATCTCACCCAAATTGGTGGTGTTCTTGGCTCTAAGGGTTATGGCATTGCACTACAGAAAAGTAAGAAGAATCAACTTGAGCTCTAAAAGATAAAGCAAAATTGCAAAATTTTCTTGTTTCAGGATCACTTTGGACGGATCGAATTTCGCGACAGATTTTGTTGTATCAAAAACGAGGTATTATCGAAATGAAGAAGGCAAAATGGTGGAGAAGCAAGTGAGTTGACTATAGTAGAACCTGATCCAATTTTGATGATATTCACTGATCTTGCAAAAAGTTTTTGATTTTACGAATGATTAGAAGCAGTGTACATGAGGAGATTTACGAACAGATTGATAATTTGCCAATCAAAAACTAAAGCTGAAGGAACTTAAGGATTCTTGAAATACTGGACTCTCTACTTCGATGGGTGGTCTCGAAAATTTGGGGAGAGGAGGGGGGAGGGGTTAAGGCAGATTTATTTACAAGTTAAGGGCGTGACTTAGAAAAATCTGAGATGTTATTTGGAAAGCTTATTTCAAGGAAATTCTTAATTCTTATCACAGATTCAATTTTTATGAAAAAAAACTCAAAAAGTCGGCTTATATTGTTTTTCACGATCTCTATCTCATACAA